TGCTAACGGGACCCTCATCTCCGTTGCTTTCTGTGCATTTGCAGAAGATTCAGAGTTGGATTCTTTTGTGTGACATTGACAAAAACAAATGTAGCCTTTGGTGCTTGTTAGAGAGTGTTCATTCCTGTCCCTTAGACGTAAAGGAATTTATGTGTGTGTTTCTTGTCTGTCCTCTCTTCGATGATAAAATCCCAACGGGAAGAGGCTTTTTTTTTTCCTATCCCTACCAACTTTTCACTGGAGCGCATCCAGGGCTCAGGGCTGTGTGTTCGGGGTCCTCGGAAACGGGGGTGTCCACTGACCGGCCCAGGAGACGGCTCAGTGCCCTCCAGCACTGTGCAGCGTCGTTCCTGCACGACACTCCGGCCTGCTCTGCTTGTGTCTTTAGTGCTTATGAGCTTATCTCATGTGTTTGATTCAACTCCCCATCCAGCCTCTGCTGCCTGAGTGCTCAGGTATTGCCAGCTTAAAATGTACAAAACATTCCCCTCCATGTGTGTGCAGAGACACACACCTGTGCGTACACACAGAAAGACGGTCTGACGCCTGAGGCCAGAAGGATGGTACCCAGTGGTAATCGTACAGATGTGTGTGTGCACACACCGGGGGAGACATCACACAGTGAGTGTTTAGCTTCAACTCATGCAAATACTGCCTAGGAGGAGTCGCCACCCAGCTGAGACAGCTGGGTCCTCCAGAGGCCAGTGCTGTGAATCGTGGCTGCTGACCACTGGAGGACGGCCGTCCCTGGCGTTTCAGAGGATCAGTAGAAGGCCCCTTCTCCTGCATGGATCTGAGATCAGGCTGTTTGTAAGAGAGAACCAACCAGGACCACCTGGGGAGGATTGAGTCTCCCTGCCATTGGCACTTTTATTCTTCAAGCTGCCCTGGCTTGATTTGAGTTAACAAACATCATAACTTTGTAAAAGAAGTAGGTTTTTTTTTCTTTTCATAGTTTTGATATGTAAAACCATATTCCACTCAGGTAGGCTCATCTGAGAAGGAAATCGAAGGTCTGCTCCAGTTTAGGTGGTAAGATTCTGGTCTTCACATGAAGCACCCGAGGGGATGAAATAACTACGCTTGCCTGGCTTCACAGCGAGGAGTAAGGCGAGGCCACACCAGACGCCTGGGGTCAGGGCCAGAAGGAGTCCTCGAAGTGTCTTAATTTGACCTTGGGAAAAATTTTCTGCAACTTTCAGCTTCGGGATGAGGGTTCTTTTGCTCCGTCAATTGAGAAGGGAAGCGGATACTGCGGAGTTCCACCCCTCCAGTTGGTGGCCGTTAACTTATGGAGGGGGTGTCCCCCAACAGAACAGAGTATCAGTCAAGCTTCTGCTGTCCTCCCCAACCTGGGGAGCCGCAAAATTCACCATCCAAACTTTTGAGAGTGAAAGGGTGCCCTCATAATCCCCCTGGGACAGCAAGTCAAAACTGGGCTGCAGAGTTGCCCTGCTCATGGTGGATACCCCCAACAAACGTGTTCTGGTGGCCTGTCTGTGACCTCTGGCTTAGGCTCTGCAGATTCAGGTGATGGAGAGACTCTTTCCATTTGCATCACCACGTGCGTAAGATTTGCTCAAGACCCTCCTCCTCCAGGAAGCCTCTCACAGACCCCGCCCACGCTGTGAGCATCGCTCTTGCCCTCCTGTATTTCAGTTCCAGGTGATTTCCCTCCATTAGGAATCAACAAATAACCCAGGAGACCCTGGGGATTTGGGGTAATATGGACCCAAGAAATGACACCCTTCAGACATACACCCAAAGGGGAATTTTTATTTTTTATTTTATTTTATTTTTGATAGAAGTACAGTTGATTTACAATATTGTGCTAGTTTCAGGTGTGTAGTGAACTGATTCTGTGATCCCTATATGTTTGTATATGTCTATATTCTTTATTTTTTTAATTCTTTTCCATTATGGTTTATTACAAGATACTGAATATAGTTCCCTGTGTTATACGTAAATTCTCGTTGGTTATATGTTTTATATTTTGGTAGTGTGCATCTGTAATTCCATGCTCCCAATTTATCCCTCCTCACCCCTTCCCCCCAAAGGGGGATTTTTAAAGGGCAGGTTAGCTCATGAAACTCAAGGTCTGGATGCTGTAGTCGGCCCGTGAAGGTCAGACTGTCCTACGGCACCAGGCTGCCATTTGTCTGTCTGTCTGTCTGTCTGTCTCTCTGGCTGCATGATTTTCCGTCTCTGCTCGTCTCTGTACATCCTTTCCCTTATATCTGTCCAGCTGCTGCCTCATCCCTGTTCTTACACGATAGCCATGGCTGCCCTTGCACCATGTGATCTTCCCGGATTTAGAGCCCACGCTGGAGTCCCCTGGTCCTTCCCCATCCCGGTCCCCCACCCCTGGAGAGAGGCTCTGATTGGCCGAGCCCGGCGTCTGAGTTGGCTCCCCCTGAGTCAGTGTGACCTGGAGAGGCGGGCTCAACTCCGATATGAAATTCTGTAGGGCTGTGGGGCAGAGGGGACCCGTGACAACAGCCACAGTCCACACGTAAGCGCTCTGTACAGTCTGAGCACTCCCGTGCAGTCTCTCATTTAATCCTCACAGAAGCCCCGAGGCACAGGGGGCCGTGCTATGCCGGCTTATAAATCAGGAAACTAAGGTGCAAAGTTAGACAGCTAGTCTCGCGCCCCCGAGCTGATGAAGGGCCGAGTCAGGTCGTGAGCCGGGCAGCCGGGTTCCAGAGTCCGTGCTCCTGAGTCACTGCTCGGGACGGCTTCTTTTAAGTAGGTATTGCTGAGATGCCCCGTTTTCATCTTTTTACTCTTTTTTAGTATCTGAACATTGGGCACTGAATGTCTGCTCAACGAATGTTGAAGGAATGAATGAGTGAGTGAATGAACGAAGGTGTGAAGGACCAAACAGAAGCATGCAGGGTCCATTAGAAAGTTAGGAAACAGACCTTACCCCGGTCCAGCAAGCCTTGTCTAGCCGCTGCTTGTCCAAGCACTAATGTGCCCGTTTTCAAAGTACTCTCTCTTTCCGTCCCTCTCTTTGTACTCAGACAAGAGTGAGAATGGCGAGGCGTATCAGAGGAAGAAGGCGGTGGCCACCGACCTCCCCGAGGGCCCCGCAGCCCCCATGTCCTCTCGAGGGAACCCCGCGCAGCCCAGCAGCAGCAGCTGGAGGAGAATCGCGCTGCTCATCTTGGCCATCACCGTCCACAACGTCCCAGGTGAGGTCCTGCCCCGAGCGGTCCAGCCGCCCGTCTGAAGGTGAAGCCGTTCCATCATCTCGGCTGCCTGGCTGGAAAAGAGGCTGGGGCAGTCGTGATGCGGGTCCTTTGTCCAGGGGGTCTCAGGGAGGGAGTGCAAATCTTTCTTGAGTTTATTTTTTGGGTTACTTGCTCTAGACTGATTATTGTACGTTAAAAGTTCCTGTTCCAGGCACTGAAAACAATCTCACTCTCCAGTTTCCACCTGAGTTCCTTTCTTTACGTATTTGATACCAAGTCATTTGGGCATAAATGCCTAACCATTCCCAGATTACCGTGGAGTGAGCCTTTTGTAAACATGGAATGTCTCTGATTCTTCTTAATGCTTTTTTAAAAAAATTTTTTACTGCCGTGTAGTTGATTTACAATGTTACTTTCAGGTGTACAGCAAAGTGATTCAGTTATGCATATATATACATATATATGTTTTTCTTTTCAGATTCTTTTCCATTATATGTTACTACAAGAAATTGAATATAGTTCCCTGTGCTATATAGTAGGTCCTTGTTGTTTATCTGTTTTGCATGTAGTAATGCGTGTTTGTTCATCCCAGACCCCTTCTTCATGCTTTTTCAAAGTACTGAATTCAGTGCAGTTTAACGCTGATACCTGCCTTCCCTGCTTTCTTCGTGTGGACATCCTTCCGAGATGTCCTTACCAGTCCTCTCCTTTTTAGCATTTTGGAGTAATTTGTCTTGTGTCTTTGGATTTATTTTGATTGAAAATAATTTAATGGTGTTGTATTTCAAAAATAACATTTTTATTTAGAGGAACTAGAATACACAAATAAGCATAAAAAGTATAAAGATAGTATTAAAAAAATAAGTTACAAGCTGTGGGTTACGCCTTGGAATTTTAGCTCTACTGTTTACTGACTAGTTTATCCTGATAAATTACATGAGCTCTCTGAGCCTTGGTTTTCTCATCTGTGAAGTGGGGATTATGCTACTACCAAGATGACTGGGAAACTGTTACAAAATAAACTATATTTATTTTGATAATTAAAGGTAATATTTGGGCCATTATGAGCATTCATAATACTCCTGACGTCTTCAGTCTTGAGTTCTTAAACATCCTGATCCATCTTTCATAGTTTTGGGACTCAAGTTTGAGTGATAACTTTGCTCAGGGGGCAGCCCCAGAGGACCTGTTAGCTGCGTCCTCGCAGAGTTCCCAGTGTCCACCTGTTGCCCCAGGGCAGGAGCGAAGACTCGAGTGGGCAAACCTTGCAAGAGGCACACAAATTTCTCCTTGAAGCTTTTTTAGATATTGCTTTGTTATCTTCTGGTTTCAATACTGTGGAATCAAAGGCCACTGAGAAAGCAAGTTTATTTCTCTGTGGGTAACTTGAAATTCTTTTGCTTGTACAATGAAGACTTTTATTTTTTTTACTCATCTCTAAAGAATGAAAATGTCAATATGTTGTATATTCCAGGATGTATGTGAAATCTGTCAAAACACCGAGTGTCCAATTACTTTTTAAGCTCAGGTCTCTCGCTAGATGAGAAGCATTTTCCTCCGTTATTTCTGTCTTGATCTTAGGAATTTCTATCATGTGGTCATATAGGCTGCTTTTCCCCCAGTTTTTTTTTGTTTTTTTTTTAGTATGTTTCTCTCTTGTTTCCCTCTTGGCTTTTTCCCTTTGGGTTGTGAATAAACTATTTTGGGTGTTTTTCCAGAGCTTGCTATTCAGTATGCCTTGAGATGAAGTCTTAGGTGGGACCCCAATGCATAAACGTGACCAAAGTGGATTTGCCCAGATGGAAGGATCCAGTCACACTCACCACCAGCATCTGAAAGAGCTCAGTGGGAGGACAAGGGCTCTGCAGAGCGCAGCTCAGAAAACCTCCACTGTTGTCCCACCCGTTAAATGCTAGAGAAGGGAGTTGCTTCTGCTGTCTTTTCAGTCTTAGTAGCTAGCGGCTGACTTTCTGCCATTTAAGACTCCTTGTTTAACCAGTTGAAGAGGAATAAAGGTCTGTCCAGTGGGTTTAGAGCCAAACAAGATAATTGTACTGGCTTGAGGTGTCCCATGGTGATTCTGTTTCTCCCTGAAGAACGAAAAGGTGTTCTAAGATCCAGATTTCATAGTGATGGGAATAAATAATTAATAATAAGCAAACAAACAAATAAATAAATAATTTCATAGTTCCTGGGAATAAACTTTCCTCTGATGGACCCCATCCCGTGCCACACCTGCTGAGACCTTTCTATGTACCCATATGCTCACCTGAAATTGTTTCCTGGCTCATTCTGACGGCAGGTCAGGGAGCGTCAGAGTACATGCTCTTAAATGTTTATTGACTCCAGTGAGAACTTGGATCAAGGCCAGAAACAAAAGCGTGTTAGCAGGAAAATGTGTGAATTGACACCAAAATTTGATGATCCTAAATCAGCACAGATTCAAATGTTACTTCTTCCCTGACAAGAGACCCTGTTTTGAATCCTTGACACTTCCAGGTTCAACTTCGTGTCCCTCTTATGGAGAATGCAGAATTATCTTTTGAAATGAGGACTGGGCAGCTTATTGGAAATCCTAACTGAACTGGCTTCAAAGAAGTGTGGTGGTGGTAGTTACAGACTTTGGTTTGCCTGGATCGAGAGATTTGAGGGGACATTTTTTTGGCCAGTCTTGTTTTTAATTAACTGCATTTTAATAATGTGTTCTAGGTTCCTGAATTATATCAGTCATAAAACATACCAAGATTCCCTGACCTCCTGTAACTAATACTCTTCTGGGGGAGATAAACAATGAACTTAGTAATAATGAGTGAATTATGTAATGTGTTAGGTGGTGGTTAGTGCTATAAAGAAAGAAGAAGCTCGGCTGGGCGGAGGAGGGGTGAGGGGGAAGGCAGGGAGGCCCGTGAGGAGACCGCTGCAGGAATCCGGGTGGAAGACGCTGGTGGCTCAGCTCAGGGTGGTATTGCCGGGGGTGGTGAGAAGGGATCCCATTCTGGTGTCTGCTGAGGGTGGTCCCATCTAAGACTTCATCTCATGGCAGTGGGATGTGCTGATGGATTGGATGTGGGGTGTGAGAGAAGCCAGGAAGGACCCCCAGGTTTCAGGGCTGACCGCCTGTAAGGATGGAGTGCCCGTCACCTTGGCTGGGGAGGGCTGACGCTGGAGCAGGTTCTCGAAGGGAATGTCAAGAGTTCAGTTTTGGACCATGAGGTTCGGTTGCTGTTAGACATTCAAGTGGAGACACTGACTGGCAACTGGATTATTTCAAGAGCTTGTCCGTCACCAGCTTACCTTCGAAAAGGTCTTTTCTTTAACTCTATCCTTTACAGTTTATTAAAAATTCAACTAGAGCTTTGATGTTCCCTGAGACTCTGGGTTTTAAGATAGGTTTTCACAGTGACTAAATGGATAATTGATTTTTTTGAAGTGTTTTGTCTTGGTTGATTCAGTTTTATATGTCCTGGGGATGACATTTTGTTAACAAAATTTTTTTTTCTTTTAATGTGGGAGTTAAAAGGAGAGCTTGTTAGCACATGTGCAATTTCCTGGAGGTTTCTGGGGTGCAAGGACCTGCACACAAGTGTGTGTGCACACCCGCGGCACTTTAATACCCATGGTCAAGGACAAATGAGTCCTTAAACTTCTGCAGCTCACAGCCCTCCCGAAGAATCTGAGAAGAGCTCTGGACCCTCTTGTAACAGAATGTTGCCCACAAACGAGTCTGCAGCCAGTCTTGAGTGTTCTCGGACCTCACGAAAGCCATCCACTGCTCCAGAGCAGGAGAGGACCCCCGCTTTAGAGAAACCAACAGTACAGTCCTGCAAGCACTTGGAATGTTTCTGGAGGAAGGTGTGATGACTGACGGAAGACAGCAGACGCGAGCCCCGCTGGCCCGCGTGGTGGAGGTGCCGCCCCGGCACACCGCATCCCTTCTCTGGCCCACCTTGTGCATGGGCAGCGGGGGCCTGGGGAGCCGAGTTCTTGGGAAGGTGATATCCCAAGGAAACGACATCTTTTCTTTGAAAACTACCCTGCTCTGTAGTCTTCGGAGCACACTGACCCTTAACAGGAATTTCCTGCAACATCATGTAGGTTCCAGGGCTCTGAGCCTTGCAGAGATTTCTGGGCCTTTTGAAAAACACGCTCCCTTTCTGTGTCAGGATGGAATTAAAAATCAACCAGCAATCAAATTCCTATTAATCTCTTTTCATGAGTAGCTTATGGTCTCAAGAGCGCGCCGTTGCTTTGTACATAAGAAAGTTAAATTTAGCGCTTAAAGGGATTCTAGACGCTCTCTCATTCAGGCACTGCTCTATTTAAAAATTTGGTGGTGGGGCGTGGCGGCGGGCGGGGGTGATATTAAATGATTACTGTGGTTCCATCCAGCCCTGGTGTTGGATGATTCTGTGAAAAATAAGATGAGTAGTACATTATTTATTTCATTTATTTAACAGTGGTGTACAGCCACTGTGGAAAACAGTATGGAGATTCCTCAAAAGACTAGGAATTGACTTACTATTTGACCCAGGAATCCCACTCCTGGGCTTATATCCAGAAGGAACCCTACTTCAGGATGACACCTGCACCCCAATGTTCATAGCAGCACTATTTACAATAGCCAAGACATGGAAACAGCCTAAATGTCCATCAACAGGTGACTGGATAAAGAAGATGTGGTATATTTATACAATGGAATACTGCTCAGCCATAAAAACCGACAACATAACGCCATTTGCAGCAACTTGGATGCTCCT